GCTCGCACGTCTCCCCGCGCGGGGCCGCTAGGCCGACGCATCTCACTGCGCGCTTACATTCGCCAGTAGGTTGAGCTAATACGGCGATTTTTAAAATTTCGTATCTCGATAACTATTCGTCCAAGCGCAAAATAGTACAATACTTTTCTGTTTGTCTTAGTCCCCTCTACCTTCCCATGACCGGAAGTCAAAGTCTTGCGTAGCACCCTGTATATATATACACACACGTTTCATTTAGGTATTTGATATCAAACAGCAGTATTTCAGTTACCTACCAAATATACATCTGTTAAGTTTCATTTACCTTTCTTTTACGTTACAGTGGTACGTATTTGTTACCATTCTGAAATCAAGGTAAAACGGCCATCGATAGCAATTTGTTAAGTATCTGATACATGTCAGATCGACAACCGACACATATCTGTAATAGTGTCAATTTCTTTTTGAAAGCTAACGGTTAGGTTTCTGATACATATCTGTGTGGCTTCGTGCTGTCTGGGCACTGAACTGTGCGACACTGAACTGTACGACACTGAACTGTGCGACACTGAACTGTGCGACACTGAACTGTCCAATTGAACAAACGCTGATTTAGAAAGATTTATTATTTATAAATTAGCAAAATTTCCAAACAGGGCTCTATACGCATACGCGTGTGTCTGTGTGTTTTAAATTATATTTCGATAACCTGTGTCCAAATGCAACGGTGTCCAATTGTACGGTGCGCAAAAGAACTGTGTCCAAATGAACGGTGCGCAAAAGAACTGTGCGCAACATTATGTGTCCAATAGCACTGTGTGCAATTGCATCGTGTCCAATTGTACTGTGCGCAATTGAAGGCTTCTCTGCGCTGTCGCCAGTCTCGCCTGCTTCCGCACACTGCTATAGCCGTCGGTGCGTGTACGTGTTGGGTCCCGTTAAAGTCACTAGATATATAAAGTACCGCAATCGTCCGCCATTTTGGCTCCATGACGTGGCTATTTCAAATCCATCCCAGACAGCACACGATATCCTATGGATGTCGTCATTTTCAATACTCTCGAGACATTGTTCGTCTCCAGAGATATTTGTACGTTCCAACTGTTTAATTTCTTTGCAGTATTGTATAAGATGATCTACATCAACAGTAGAATAATTGCTGTTTTTAGTGGTTTGAAATTGTGATAAAGAAATACGGCGTAATGCCTGCTTAAATTCTTATGGCACGCCGTTTTGCTATTTAATACTATCATAAAAATTCTACCACATTAAATTGATACTAAAAGAAAAGAAATTATAATTATGAGACTAGACATATTTATAATTCATCGAATTATTATTAAGCTATCATATGATTAAAAATGCAGAAATAAAATTATGTCTAGACAAAATATTAATTCTGAATTTATTTTGTTATAACAAAAATTTTTCAGGAATTAAAATTATGTACATAATATGTTGGAGATGCCTATCACACGTTTACTCTTCGCGCCTCGCGCGGTCACACGCACGCAACGCCATCTCACTCATCCTACGATGATCCCACCGACCTTCACCCCCCCTTTTGTAGTATTACGCTCATGTCGGGTCTCAAGACATACGTGTAGATCGCAACTCATTAAAGAAGGCTTTTTTCACCTAACTGTATTCGTTCGTTCGATCCCCGTGCTTCCCATCTGTTAACATTAACAGGTTATGGGCCCAGGGCACATAAGTCGTAAGAAAAGATCGTTGTGCGACATACAGCGCGATCGCAACGCGACCGACAAAATTATAACCCCAAAAGACGACGGACCGCTGTAAGTCGAATCCTCATCGACGCAAAGTCGAAGTCAGAGAAAGGTAACATCATGGCGTACGCAAGTATTGTTAACTCCACACGCATCGAAATGCTCAACCGAAATAATTACGATACATGGAGCATCCAGGTTGAAGCGTTATTAATTAAAGCGGATTTGTGGGAGTACGTGTCCGGCAGGAAAGTAAAACCCGAGGTACGGCAAGGCGAACAGCAAGCGGCACAGCAAGCAGCTCTGGAAAATTGGATAGCCCACGACCGAAAGGCGAAGTCGGACCTCATCCTATCGATTTCCCCATCCGAGTTGAAGCAGGTACGCGGATGCGAAACCTCGCGAGAAATTTGGACGAAGCTGGAAAACATTTTCGCATCGAAAGGGCCAGCGCGTAAGGCAAATTTACTCAAACAACTTATCTTGCAAAAATTACCCGACAACGGCGATCTCCGCGAGCATCTATCGCGATTCTTTGATATCGTCGACAAACTCAGTGCCATGAACATCGAAATAAACGGAGACCTTCTTACAATCATGCTTTTGTATAGCTTGCCGGATAACTTTGAGAACTTTAGGTGCGCTATTGAAACTCGCGACACGTTACCGGACGCCGAATCGCTGAAAGTGAAAATTCTCGAAGAGCACGACGCTAGGGAACGGAGATCAAGTCAACTCGAATCAAACGCAATGTATGTAAAGTGCAACTCAAAAGGAAAACCATTCAACAGAGGCAAGACCGAGGTAAGCGATACAAAGGCAAACAAGAAAAAGGTCACTTATAAATGCAACTACTGTCAAAAGAAGGGCCACAAGGAATCCGAATGTTTTGCGAAGAAGAAGGATAAGGATAACAAGCCTCTCAAAGATCAAGACGCTAATCAAGTCGACGAAAGTTTTTATATAAACGGCCCAAGTACCGAAACTGGAAACATATGGC